CGCCAGAGAGTACTGCTTTCGCTGCATACTGCTCATGCTAGCGATGTTCCGCATAAGGGTACTCAAATTATCGACTTGAGCAAGTTGAGGTAGCAGCAGAGTCCAGTGATTGTTTTTGCACTTGCAACCAATACTGGCATTGTCCCGGATATGTGCAGCGATGTCCATTCTGGCCAAATCATCGGCCGACTCACCTCCCAAGTCAGTGTCGATGCCAATCGCTTGCCAGGTTGTCATCAGAGTAGAATTCCTCGTCAGTGCAGATCGTGGGACTACCAGCATCAATTATTGTTACGCTCGATGAAAGTGTCGCCCTCAAATGACTCGTCGCTGTAGCCATCATCGTCTTCCTTCTGTTTCCGACTCGAATCCTCAAAATATTTTATCCTGCGCATGGAGTGCGATGATGTCGTCTTCTTCCGCTCCGCAGTACATTACTACTACTAGGCTCTTCTGTCGATACATCGATGACGATCAGTTTTAGGCGACTCAGCGCAACATGGAATACAAACTCTAACAAATAAACTTACTTGCAACAAAGAATTGCATCCGGAACAGTCCAGCCGACCGAGGAGAACAACAACAGCGACTCGCGTTGCGCATTGCACTGCACTTCGAGCTTCGTATTTTTTGCCGCGGAATTCAAATCGCGATTATCTCGACTTTTTCAAAAAAAGCTGTGGTCATGTTTTAGCGCGCTCGGGCTCATATAGAGGTTCCCCACCAGGTAAAGTTGAGCAACTTTACTTTATTGGGCGGGAAAAACCCGTGAACTTGCGACTTTACATTCCACTTACGGAAAGTCTACGTAGAGTACATATATAGGGCTCTGATAACGTAGGTGCCAGTGGCGTGTCCAGGAGTTGGACGAGGGGGGGGGGGGGGGGGGGGGTTGCGGCCGGGATCAAGGCGGGATGGGGTGGGGGTAGATGACATCATGCTACTGTACCAGGTAAGCCATTTTGAAAACCGATGTCAAGAAGCTCCTCCTGTAGTCCCCTTCTTCAACAGTTATTCACCCGAACGGCCCTCGAGACTGTTCCGGAGGATCAGCGCACCACACGGGGACAAGTGTCGAACTTGCTTCAATTTCCCTTTTTTCGTGGGCCTGCGGGACGATCGACCATGATGTTTTGGGGAAGCATTCTCTGGAACGCTCTCCCCTCTGATTTTAGAGTGATAAGTGTCCGTGGTCCCTTCCGAAAATCTCTTTCTGCCATTGATACACTTACTTTGTGAATATCCTCATTAAACTTCTCATCTGTCAATCATTTGTGCATGCATGTCTATATTAAAAATCAACCACGTGTTCCTGACTCCATGAAATTGTCTTTCTATTCTTTGACTCCATGAAATGGTCTTTCTATTCTTTGACTCCGGGAAATTATTGTCTTTCTATTTCTGACTCCATGAAATTGTCTTCATATAATTTTTTCCTTTTCCTTTTCTTCTTTTGGTCCTTTCTGTCTTATATTATTATCATTTCTTGTTTTCCCTTTCATATCATCCCTTAATCATTCTGTGAGAACCTGTCCTATGGGCAGGTGAGAAGGCATCTCTGCCTGTTCATTTGGTGAAGTAAAATATACAACAACAACCACAAGCCGTAAATCTCACACACCACAAGCAGTATTTCTGTACACGCAGCAACAATGTACATTGTAAACTTCAAATTTGCCGTTATGTGAGCGAATCAACTGCAATTATTTATGCGAGTCCAACAATTTCTCACCGCTCTCAAAGCATCCTTTACATAGGCAGCGGTACTTGTCACTGTGCGCTGTGTTCTTTATGTTCTGGCTGCTCGCTGACAACAGGTTCTTCCACGTCTGGCGGAGTGTGACTGTAAGTCCGCTCCGAAAGTTAAACTGGAATAACAGCGACTTCTTCTTTCGAAACCTAGGTCGAAACTTTTGAGGGGGAAGGGCACCCCCCCCCCCCCCCCTAAACCCGCCACGGGTGCTCAGTAAGTGGATTGTGGTACAAATTTACGATTCTATCCCCAGGTCGATCCGGTCGTACACTGCCGTGTTCGGAGTTGTCAAGGGCAGTTACATGGTTTGAAAACTTCGTATGGCGGAACACAGATCCGCATGCAGTTTACGTAAGATTTTCCGCAGATCAACTGCGTTTTTACTAAGATAACTACGTCATGTGGAACCTCTCTATTGTCTACCTTCGCGGACGGAAGTTCTACACTCGGAACAGCTGTATGACGTAATTGAGTGCAAAAAGGATGTGTTACTTTGCTGGTGGTGTGCTGTGGCAACGTGTCAAGATCAGCTGGAGAGTGCAGTTATGGTGTGAGCATTGATGAAGAATGGCAGTTTTTCACTTTCTTTCTCCCAATTTGTTCTTTGTTTCTTGTACTGCTAGTTGTAAATTGTACAGCACCAACACTCCTACATGGCAGTGCAGACAAGAAAACTGTGTCATACCTTCAGCATGTGAATTACACATGTAATACTGGTTATAGAATGAATGGATCAGCAACAGCAACGTGCAGTGCTGATGGAACTCTACAATTGCCTACTTGCAACAGTAAGTGCAGCTGAAATATATTTGTAGACTCCCCTGGAGCTGAACTCAAAGTCGAACCTTATTGCAAATGGAGGTATTCCCTGCCGGCAAACGATCTCGTCGGGCCTGGTACCACGTCCAGTGTTTTGGTGAGACAGCTAAAGCAGCGCCTCAAAATTTGAAATAATATTGTTTTGAGCTACTACTGTACTCCCAAGTCCAACCTGGCCTAGCAGTGCGAGCGCTGTTCGTCTCCGCTAAGAAATCTCACCAGGCAGGAAGCTGAAAGCAAGTAACAAATCAAGGACGTTGTTCCGAGTGCTGGTGTCATCCTCACAATCATACCGTACTGCATTTCATTTCTCTTAGCTGCACGAGTAACAGCTCTCATAGCTAGCTAGCAGATGCCGGGGGTTTCAAACGAGAGGTGGAGAGCACTGCAGGTCAGAAAAAGAAGGATTTCCAGGAAGACGGCTGCGCAGTCACTGTGCCTAGTTGCGCTCTGCAGTAGCAGCTTGTGCCGGTCTAACTGAGCTTTGCAGTAGTATAAATTAATACACTCAGTGTCCACTGACATGACCAAGTCTGGTCTGAAATCTGAATGCACTGACTGACTGCCTCCAGATTACATGAAACGACTTGAAAGAATGCCAAAATGTCGCACTGGTGGCCTCATATCGCACGCACCTAGACTGCACAGCTATTTTATGTTTATGTGAGTGTGGCTGCAGTCCACAATTTGTCGCCGAAAGCGACAGCAAAAATGTGAAGTGAGGCGCGAAAAAAGCGGTGCCGCAAATTCATGTGGGACCAGGCCCTAAACTGCAAAGGGGTACTCTGGTGCAGAGCTCTCCTTCTCAATTCATGCACAGAATAGGCGTCCAGCGCAAACTGATAGCATTTGCGAAAAGGAGAACTCTGGACCAGAGTGTAAAGTACAAACACAGGTTGAATCTTTTTTTTTTAAAGAGAGATGTTCCAAATCTATCACCATTGCAGAGCGGAAAGATTACATCATGGCGTGAATTACAGTACTTCCTCTGTGTCATCGAAATTAGAGAGGTTCAGTGACTCGTTTTTCATGAACGAAACGAGTGCTGACATCCGGTCCGGGTTAGAGTCTGGTTGACATCTCGTTCAGAAGATTCGTTTTTACGAATCCGGCCTGTCTGATTCGTATGCAGCTCCGAGATCGATCTGCCCCAGAAAGTGTGAATATTTTTGACTTTTTTGAAATTTTTTCATCGTTGTTGATTATCGATTCTTTCGTTTTCACTTTCGTTGTGTTTGGTAAGAATGTTTCCTTTCCTTCGGCTTCACCTTCCTCCTCATCAAACGCTGGTTGAAACAGAATCAATTCCTCATCATCGATGTCACCCTCTTCATGGGCCGACAACAACAACTGACGGGCAACATCTAGGTCTTCTCGGAATTCATTCATGGTCGCAAGAAGGAAACGGTTCAAGAAGGGAGGAAAGCCCAATCTTGAAAGCAACAAACGCAGAGTAAAGTTTGCAAGTAACAGCTAGTTTAGTTAGTTCTTGGTGATGTGGTGACATGACATTCGAACGTTTGCGCTTTTGTATTAAAAAAGTCTCTGAGCGAAGAAATTTTGCAGAAAGATCTTTCAAATTTTCTCTCCGCCATATTAACCATGGCAATCATGATGCGACTCACTGTCTTCTCGTGCACGAGTCACTGAACCTATTTTGGGAACTGCACGAGCCGAATACAAAAAGAAATCGATCTCGTTTCGTTTACGAGTAGACAACGAATCACAGAACCTTTCGATTGTCGCAGTTTGACTAGTCCATAAGCTAAACCATACAAAGATTATTACACAGGATGATAGTCTGAAGTCTTAGAGTAATAAACGTTCCAGGAGAGTTGGACTGATAGTTTCACATGGAGCTGATCTCGCTGATGTAAATAGATGAAAAAAAGATCTTTCGTAAATTTTCAAGGAAGGTTGTATGTAGGTCGCGCCTCATCTCAAACGCTTTGACATTCTCCACAGGACAAGAGCTGCTATGCTTGTCGTTTGCTAGCTCTGGATGGTTTCTACTTCACACCACCAACGCAGTAAGAATACAGGATCGTAGCAACGTCGGTGGATTACCGTCGGCTTAATCACCTCGATCTTGATATGTACTTTGTTTTAGCAGTGGGATGCCCATTCATTTTAGCTGTGTGGCCACTGCTCATGCAGGTAAGTGTACTATCACGTCGAGCGTGCACTCTTTTTCAGCATCTCTGGTACAGTACCTGCACGTGCATCAGCAACTAGCACTACAGTGTACATGCAGAGTCTACACGGCCCTTGCAGGTACTCACCTACTGATTGTCTCAGTATTCCTTTGCATGAATGCCAGAGCGATAAATTTCATCGCGCTTGTATGCATTAGTTTGCTGACCCATCGACGTGTCTTCAAGCCCTGCCGTTTGTTCCACAAAGTCATTCTCACCCCAGCTCAGGTAAAACAGTTATGAGTTTTTTCACTGCATGGCTCTAAGCGCGAGACATGTGCAGGCTGCAACGCCTGACTGATCTCAGTGAGTCGAGTGTACCATCACAGCGACATCGGCGAAGAAATTGCATCTAGTTCAACATTTTCAGCTTCCAGCAACAGAAAATAGACATTTGCCGTCATCCAATACTGATGACTATCGTCTATGTCCGATTCCTTAGCTGTGGTACGACTGCTGGTGAGTATGTACCCAGTTTTATATCAAAAGTCAAACTGCGACAATTTCGATGACGCGGAGGAAGTATAATTCAAGTGAGTGAAGGTGTGAATGACAGCAGTGATATCACTGACCTGACACAACAACTAAAGAAAAAACGAAACTAAAACAAACTAAAATTTTAAAGAAAAAGAAAATGAAACTTGACAATCTGCACACGATGACAACTCCATTTATGACATTAGAGAGGTTCCGAGGTACGATTTTCCGTGCCAAAATCCGTGTGGGCTCTACGGATTTTTTCCAGGAGTGCTCCATACGATTTTTCGGCACGGAGAATCCGTGTTTACTGGCTTTCACACGAACCATGTTTCGTATGGAGATTTTGCGTCATCGGGTGCAGAAAGATTTCTCGCGTACAAATTTGGGACGAGAAACATGGATTTTCCGCGGGAAGTTTTGATTTCGGTACAAATTTTCAAAATATAAAGGCATAGCGCGGGAATGTGACGTGTTTGCAATCGTAACCTAGGCAATGACGGCAAACACATAAATTCCGTACTCCGGAACATTTCACTGCTCGAAAACGACGTATATAAAATCCGTAGCGCCTCTACGGATTTTGGCACGAAAAATCGTACTCCGGAACCTCCCTAATGACAGCAGTAGTGAAAGTTTACATCATATCATGAGTAATATCCCAAATGACAGGGCTGGTTTTCACGCCATATTGAGTTTTTCACTTCCTTTTTCCAATGTTTTTTCTGCCGTATTGCTCTGCTAGTTGTAAACTGCACTGTGCCAACACTCATGAACGGCATTGCAGACAAGACAATTGTGTCCTATCTTCAGAGTGTGAATTACACGTGTAATACTGGTTATAGAATGAATGGATCTGCAACACCAATGTGCAGTGCCGATGGATCTCTACAAATGCCTTCTTGCAACAGTAAGTACAAATTTCATAGCCGGCAATCACATGGCACCAAGTATATTGAAAATCAACATAATACTTTCAACGAGGACGAAATAAAGGCGACCAAACGAAACCTTACGAAGTAGTGGTTGCGACAGTCGTGAGTCAGTCAAGTGTCAAGTAAAGTCGGCGGAATAGCGCGAGCTCCGGTGTGGGGAGCAAACCCTTTCTTACAAACGAAACCTGGAGGAAGAAATAATTATCATAACCCTCTCCAATTCGCCATCACGATACTGACATAGCTCCGAAACGATACCCCTAAAAATCCACAAAAAACTGTACGCTCACCGCCGCACTGATTTGGGATGAGAATTTTCTATGATATTCATAATGTCCTTGGAGCACTCAAAAATCAGCTTCCCATCGTACCTTTGTCGCTCTCTACTCCTTTTTCAAGGCACAAAGGCCGTCTCCACTTTCAAACCGAAAAGAACGCATACTTATCGTTTTTTCAGCTGATCGACGAGCGAAGGTTTGTACCTTCGCTCGTCGATCAGCCGAAAAAAACGAGGCTGCATACCTGAGTACATGAGAACAGGTATGCAGTAAATAGTCAAGTTCAATGTTTCTGCTCCAAACTGCAGCTAACTTTGACTGGCTACGAAGATTACACCAAAGGGTCAATCAACAATCATTTTCTTCAGTTTTTTCGGCAGAACCTTCTCCTTGTGCTTGGCGCAGGCCTTCATACCTCGGAGAAAAAATATTGTTCTGAACATCGGAGGTGTACACAAATTACAACTCTCAGATGTCCTCAATTTTTGTCATGAACTTAATTATCATCAAACGAAAGATGGGAGATTTCTTCTTTTAGCTTTCATGACATTTACTGCTATGAACTGGCGATATTTTGCGTGATGTAGGGACTCGTACTTCCTCCGCGTCATCGAAATTGTCGCAGTTTGACTTTTGATATAAAACGGGGTATTTACTCACCAGCACTCGTACCAGAGGCAGGGAATGGGATATAGGCGATAGTCATCAGTATAGGGTGACGGTAAAGTTCTATTTTCTGTTGTTGGAACCTGGAATTTTTTAACTAGACGCAATTTCTTCGCTGATGTCGCTGCGATGGTAATTTCAACTCGCGGAGATCAGTCAGGCGTTGCAGCCTGCACATTTCTCGTGCTTATGGCCATTCACTCAAGCCTCATCACTGTTTGACCTTAGCTGGGGTGAGAATGACTTCGTGGAACAAGTGACAGCGCTTGGAGAAACATCGAGGGGTCAGCAAACTAAATGCCTGCAACAGCGATAAAATTGGTCGCTCTGGCGGAGACACTCAGTACGACTCGTACATGATTGTACCTGCAAGAGCCGTGAAGACTCTACACGTAGTGCTAGTGATGCACGCGCAGGTGCCGTACCATGGTATACCAGTGATGCTGAAAAACAGGGCGCGCTGGACGCGATAGTACACTTACCTGAGCTGCATGAGCTGTGACCAAACAGCTAAAATAAATGGGCATGCCACGGCTAAAAAAAAGTTCATTAATTTTCAAGATCGAGGTGATTCCGCCGACGGTAATCAACCTACCTCGCAACGCTCGTGTATTCTTACTAGGCTTCATTGGTGGTGAAGTAGAAATCATCCAGAGCTAGCAGACGACAAGCATAGCAGCTCTTGTCCTGTGGAGAAAGTCAAAGCGTTTGAGATGAGGCGCGACCAACTTTCAACCTTCCTTGAAATATTTCGGAACAATATTTTTGCATCCATTGACATCAGCGACGACGAGGACTTCATCTCAGCATGAAAACTCTCAGTCCAACTGTCCTGGAACGTTACTCTAGTCTTCAGACTATCATACTGTGTAATAAATTTTGAATGGCTTAGCTTATGGAGTTGTCAGTAACAAGTGACAAGTCACTAGTCAAACTGCGACAATTTCGATGACGCGGAGGAAGTAATTATTGGATTTGTAGTCAGCTAGAAGCGCAACTTTTCTACGTCTAGCTAATGGGACAAACTATTCTCCTCAACACAACAAATACCAAAAGGCCAAGAAGCTTTAGAGCGAGAGTAAATGAGTTTTTTCTCTTTTGAGACGACGAGACAATTGACACCGAGACAAGACGAGATGAAGGAGTATATAATGAAGGCGTTCAACGGGGACAAGACGCGAAAGTGTGTATACAACAGGGACAGAAGACGGTGCGGCCGCATGTACACAGGAGTAAAGGACAGCGCAGCAGTGTGTACCAGGGTTCAGTAGCACCTACAACAAAGAAACACAAACGCATCAGCAGGTATGACAAAGAATAACAAACCCAGCAGCAGGTATGACAAAGAAACACAAACGCAGCAGCAGGTATGACAAAGAAACACAAACGCAGCAGCAGGTATGACAAATAATCACAAACGCAGCAGCAAGTACGACAAAGAATCACAAACGCAGCAGCAGGTGGGACAAAGAATCACAAACGCAGCAGCAGGTACGACAAAGAAACACAAACGCAGCAGCAGGTATGACAAAGAATCACAAACGCAGCAGCAGGTATGACAAAGAATCACAAATGCAGCAGCAGGTACGACAAAGAAACACAAACGCAACAGCAGGTACGACAAAGAGCTACGCATGAACAACGAAGAGCTACAAGCGCAGCCACATGTACAACAGCTTCGTTTAGAACAGCGTTACAAGAATGGCATACTCAGCTCACTGTGGATGAAACCACTCAACCATGAATATATGCATGTACTGGAACGCATGCAAACACGGATTCTCTCACATATTAACGAACTCTTGCATGAACCCGCATGCACACACCCAGGACCCCGAAATCAAAATATGAAAATTGTGGATACCATTATTATCTTGCACTGGATTGATATATTTTATGTCGAAGAACAAACAGGCAGTGTTGCCTTATAACATGAGATCGACTCCACACACACAAGTGTAAGGTAAAGGAAAAGGTTAAAATAAAAAATAAAAAATGTCCTATAACACCACCAGTTACTAAACAATCAGCTGATGCGATAACATTGAAGAAAGATCACATAAGAAAATCGATTTTAAATAATAAAAATAGAAAGGAAAAGGACATATGGAAAAGAGGTAATGAAAATCCTTTAAAATTCCATTATCTGGTTGTTGTCTGGCCATGTTTGCATCTATTATACTCTTTATTGCACTCATAAAATTGCTTTCTCCACGCCGACTCGTTAAAGATTACATAATTATTTGATTAGTGAGCAACGTCATTTAATTTTCAGGTGGGATAAAAGAGCGGTCTGGAATTGACCTGGTATCTCCAGTGATCGTATAGATGCAGGCAACTTTCTCCAAAGAGCAGGATATTGATATGATGGGCTGTGTGTGGAGGCTGCAGATATGATCCTCGGGGAAAAGAAGCAGGGGAACATCTGTGCTCCTTGTGCTACGGATGTGTGACAGAGGTGTAACGAGGTAATGAAGAAGCACACTAGAGTTATCATGAATTACACGAAATGCTAGCAGGAAGAGTTAGCGGCAAATACATTGATGGCAGGGGTTGAATGTTAAGGCGTTCATAAACCTGTATATGATGATGGCGGAGAATACATAGATGGATGCCGCACTTCGGGTTCTAGATCGCATAATCTGTGACGAGTTTAATCATTCGAAAAATTATTAGTTTGAAAACTCCATAATGTGGGCAAAGAGCTCAGTTAGGAGTGACATAATCAAAATACGAAGTAGTGGTTGCGACTTCGGCGATGATTTGTAAGAAAGGGTTTGCTCCCCACACCGGAGCTCGCGCTATTCCGCCGACTTTACTTGACACTTGACTGACTCACAACTGCCATCCAGAAACACTGTGTATTGAGCAGGGAGTGGTGCTTTCTTGCAGGTTTGCCGAGTCGAAGGTTCGATGGACTTCTCGTGTGCTCTGGATGGCAGTCGTGAGTCAGTCAAGTGTCAAGTAAAGTCGGCGGAATAGCGCGAGCTCCGGTGTGGGGAGCAAACCCTTTCTTAATAATCAAAATAGACTTAAATGAGGCAAACCGTTTCTCCGACCGTTTTCCTTCTTTAGTCAATCTGTCTCGCATAATTTATGTCTTTATCTCATTCTAGTTGTCAACTGTACTGTGCCGACTGTCGCCCGTGGCCGTGGTGACAAGAAAGTTGTGTCATACCTTCAACAAGTGAATTACACATGTGACACTGGTTATAGTATAAATGGATCCGAAGCAGCAACTTGTACTGAGAATGGAACTTTGACAGAGCTGAAACCTGTCTGTAACAGTAAGTTGAGCCATTTCCTGGTAACAAACACTACTTTTTCAAAGATATGTATTCCAAACATCTCTGACCACAATCACAATTCAACCTTGACTTGGAATCGCTGCAGATTCTCAGAAAACATGATCATCTGCCAAATATACATACAGAGCAGATTTATCGAAAGGTTTGGTTCACCGAATAGTTGGTACAAGTGAGGCTGCATGCCTGAGTACATGAGTACAGGTATGCAGTAAATGGCCAATTTCAATGTTTCTGCTCCAAACAGCAGCTAACTTTCACTGGCTACAAAGATTACATCAAAGGATCAAACAACAAGCAATTCCTTCAGCTTGGCAGAAAGCTTCTTCTTGTGCTTGGCTCAGTCCAAATTTCATACCTTGGAGGAGTAATAAAATTACTACTTCCAGTTGTCCTCGATTGTTTGCCATGACCTGAATAGATGACTTGCACAAAGATTGTCTGGGTTCGAGACGGGGCAAGTGGACCTTCTGACTCTGCACTTCCCCACCTTTTGAGTTCGTGACTTTCGAAGTTTCGCTTTTTGCCTGACGAACACTGAGCTAGTTTTTTTAGCTAGAGAGTAGAGTTGTTTTGATTCGACTTGTATCGGTCATGCCGAAGCGCTGCTGCACTCCTGAATGAACTAGCAGACGAGAGATGGAACTGAGGCTCCCATTCCATACGTTCCTTTCCGAGCCGGCCGTTCGGGAGGCAGAAAAATGAGGGAATATTATTTTAGTATCATTGGTGTAGGCTGCAACAAGCACGTCGTGGTCCTGAAGTGTGACTACTTTCCCGCAGTGGAAGCGAAGTGAAGCACAACGAAAGTTTGTGGACGTCTGAGAAAGAACTCGATTCCCTTTCAATCGGCTGCACTAGCTCCAGAGCGACCCTCTCCTGAGGACAGACTGCGGAGAGGCCAGGAACCTGCCGAGTGACGAGTGGAAGCCTAAACCATGAAAATGAAGGGTGGAAGGACTGAGTATGAGAGCCAGATGGCCTTTAGTAGTACTTCAAGTAGTATCTGAGTTGAAGGAGAGAACAAGTGTGCTGGAGAAACGCTGCGAAGTCCTCAGGCCTGATGTGTACTAGCTACTGTTGAAGTCTCACTTGTTCCAATATGAACATTTCATCAGCCCTTACTCTGAGCAGCTGTATCTAGACTTGGATCTAGGCCAGAGACATAGCATTGTTAACCTTACTGAAGCCATATGTATCCGATGCCTGGCTCTAGTGAGAAAGCAGTTTGGCGCAGGCTCGCAAACTATGATTGAATCAGGGAGTGGTGGAAAGTCACATACCTCTTCATGATTAGCTGGTAATGACGACAATGCGGCTGGGTCTCATGGGAAAGTAACTTGCATACCTGTTTAGTTGCAACGAGGCAACGGTGCCCCATGTACTAAAGACATGATTGAACTACATTTCATCTCCTGGGAGAATGTGGAACAAATAATGCCAGAGTGTGTCTGATACACATCACAGTCTGCTGAGTATGTTCATTATTGTGGACGTAACATAACTGCGCTGTGAGGTACCTTCTGCGTTGGACCTACAGTTGAGCCACTACTCTTCTTACAAATTCCGCACAACGGTGAAAGGATTTGTTGGAGCATCATCAAACAGTGCATTCGCCTTCATCATACACTGGCTCCGTTGCCTACAGTAATTCACATCTTGACGGGGCGCGCTGGGACGATACGGAAGGAGCGGCGGGAACCATTGGAGTGCTCATGATGCTGGTTAGCGGAGACGGATGTGAGTGTCAGGAACGGGAACGCAACCGCACTACTGTACAGATCAGGAAGCGATGGAAGAATTGAATCTGTTCAGCCTTCCATGCCGTGTACAGGGACACAAGCGTAAAAATGGCTACATTTCGAATGTGAACTGGCGATGGCATTGTGTGGCGACGAACACAACTGCAACTGTTCAAATTTCAGCATTTCGAACATTATGTTTCCCACCGAATGGCTCACATGACGGAGTTGGACATTACCAGGCTAGGATTATCATTTGCTGTATTTATGGATAGTCCTTGAGTTTTCAGATGAAGTGCTTTATCTTTTACCTGTCGTTCCTTTAGTGTGGCACAGTGTCCATGGCTGCTTTCTTGTCTTCATAACAGACTGGTATAATCAGCATGATTCTGCTTTATTAGAGAAGAAATAAAAATTTCCTTTCGGAAAGGAAGCCCAGAAACGTCAACCCCCATGGACTGTGCTTTATGATTCTCGTCCATCGACGTTAACCGTCGCAATAACTGCTGCATGTATGTTGTGCTGTGCGAACCGTACAAGATTTTAACAGCTCACCCACGCCTTCCCAACAGGCTCCTATATCCCGTACCGATAGCATTACATTGACTATGAACTAGGCTAGCACAGTTATCCTTCGTTCTTTTGATGGCGGCGGGTAGCATGGAACTTGACGTGTTCTTGGGATCCTCGTGCAACACTTGCTGTTCCCGGATGCCATATTATTGGGTGCATCGAGGTTGCTTCTATGCTCACTGTTGTTTAGTAAGACAATTTTTTTTATAACTATTTCACCCAAGAATATGGCAAGAGTATTTTGGGTTGGTTTGAACGCCTGGCTTCTCTTCACATAATATACAGTCATGTACTTCCACTAACCCTACAACTTACAAGTACACAGGACTCATGAGCTGCTGAAGACAGTGACGGTGCACGGCATGTACATGCCGTGCACCGTTCATTCATGCTGAAAAAAAAAGGACACTACAGACGGTGTAGGGTGATGCCCGCAGTGTAGCCTGGGTGCACAGGGTGCACTTGCCCCGTCTCACTCGCGGCTCGGATCTTTGTGCAAGTCATCTATTATGATCAAACGAAAAATGGGAGAATTCTTCTTTTAGCTTCCATAACATTAATTTTACTCCTGCGATCTGGCAATATTCTGCATGACGCTGAGACTCGTTTATTATTGGCTTCATTAAGAGCACCCTTTCAAGAATGGCATACTCAGCTGACTGTGGATGACAGCGCTCAGCCAAGAATATATGCATGTACCGGAATGCACGCATACACGGATTCTCAGACACACACGCACGCACTCTTGCATGCACCCGCACACGCACACACCCAGGACTGCGAAATCAAGATGTGAAAATTACAAAATACCATAATCTTGTAATAGATTCAAACTGTTTGCAATTCTTCTCTTTCAGGAGAAAATCCACACGCTACAATGTACATTGTACATTGTTATTATTATTATTAAAAGCTTCTCTGCGCTGGCATCAATGCAATGTAGATATACACAGCATGTATAGCTTTCGCATAAGCCGAAGCGACAACAGGCAAACAGGATACCAGTATTGATGGCGATATAAAAAACAATATTATGCGATATAAAACGCGTGTCGAAAATAGAATACAATTAAAACAAGCAAACGAGCAGCTCAACCGAGTTGAATTTGAATTTGCTGATCAAATATACATTGTACATGTATATGATAATGGAGGAGAAGATGTGGAAGGATGCTGCACAGATCGTAAAATCTTTGATTAGTTTAACCATTTGAAAAAAAGTTTTAAACTCCATCATGTGGGCCAAGAGCTCAGTTAGGAGTGATGGAATCAAAATAGACTGAAATGCGGCAAGCTTTTTTTCCTGGAGCCTTTGTCTTCTTTTGTCTACCGGTTTCCTTACAATTTATGTCTTTATGTCATTTCTAGTTGTCAATTGTACTGTGCCATCTGTAACCCATGGCCGTGGTGACAAGAGAGTTCTGTCGTACCTTCAACACGTGAATTACACATGTGACATAGGTTATAGTATAAATGGATCTGCAACAGCAACTTGCAGTGAGAATGGAACTTTGACCGAGCTGAAACCTTTCTGTAACAGTGAGTTGAGTCATTTTCTGGGAACAAACCTTGCTTTTTCAAAGATCTGTACTCCGGACATCTCTATTCACAATCACAATTCCCCCTTAATTGACTTGGAATCGACGCAGGCTCTCAGAAAACAATCATGTTCATCTGCCAATTGTCCATGAAGAGCAGATTCATCGAAAGCATGTTTCACCATGTTTAGTTGGTGACATAATTGCAGTTAGAGGGCATAAGTGCAGAACAGACTTATTGATCACATTTGGCTGTCCCAGACACTGCTCATCTCACTTGAATCTTTGTGGTAACGTTTTGGAATTTAGAAGTTTCTTGCGACATTTTGTGTTGTTTTTATAAGCAAATTTTTAGGCTTTCATCATTCATGGTTTGATGGCTATCACGCCCATGCCTTGGAAGTCGTTGAAGACATATCAATTGTCGGCAAAGGGGCGAAAGCTAAAGCAGCTTGAATGAGTGAAATGAACCACTATGGCTGCCGGGTGCTTTTGTCTCATACACACACATACAATTATTGCATTTCAGAACGGACAGCATGTCACTTCCGTTCTCAAACTGTCCTTCTTTGTTCTTGTTCTGCTAGTTGTGAATTGCACAGTGCCAACACTCATGAATGGCAATGCGGACAAAACCTTGGTGTCCTATCTTCAGAGTGTGAATTACACGTGTAATACTGGTTATAGAATGAATGGATCTGCAACAGCAATGTGCAGTGCTGATGGAACTCTACAAATACCTACTTGCAACAGTAAGTACAAGAAAACATAAAGTATAATACTTTAATTCCCATAGCTATGCAAAAGACATTATTTACGTAACGTATGGTCTGGCGCTATCCAGGGTCCACACAGTTTTAATTCCGTTTGTTTCTTAGTGCCTGACGACGTCGGCATGCCTGGCGGTTTCCAGTCCCTTACAGTACCATCAAAGACATTTGGCCACATTACTCAAATAGGGCTTTCAACTGCAAGATCATAACGTGAAGCAACTTGGAAGAATGTGTATGTATGCGAAGTGCATCAGGGAAATGCATGGAGGGCAAGAGTGCGGGTTCGAATCCCATAGTGTGCCTTGAGAAAGTTGGGGAAATGAAAAAATAGATAACATAGCTTTGTTTTTGTTGCCCAGGTCATCAAAGTCACAGGGTCGCATTGTCGCATTATCGTTCGAATTTTTTTGGGTGTGCCGCTAATGGGCAGGGAATGTAAGGATCGGGTAGATTGCAGTGTTTTAATGGGCACGGTTGTTGTATAAACGGAATGCTGAGATCATAAACAGAGAACTATGAGGTAGAGCAAGATGACAGGGGTGACAGTGTTGAAGCTTTGATCAGACGGCGCCAGCAGGAGTGCCTACACAGAGAGTAGAAGATGGGAGAAGAGAAGTCCTGCCCCCACGACTGTCGCTGTGCTTGCAAAAGGCTAACAACAAGAAACAACGGAGCAAATATTCCGTCGTTTGGAGACTCGCCGACTTTGTGAAAAGATGTGTCAACAGCAAGAGAGTGCTGGACAGGCATCCAGTCGGCAGGAGAAAAGACGTGATCATGTTCGAACTTGTTCCGTATGCAGTGACTGCCGTCCATAGGCATAAGGACATCATCTATGCAATCTATGCCGCTATGCAAAATACGTTACTTTGTCCACTATATCATTGTATTGCAAAAAACATTTCCAGCAGTTCGAATAACGTTCATAATGAGCTAGGCAAAAAAAGCGTAGTGTAGGGCCCTGAGCTTTAAAGCTCTCTCGTTACGATTGGCCAGTGAGTTATTCTTTCTGGTGCCTTTACATTTTACAAGCCCTTATCTATTCTGGGTAACTCAGAGACTGATAGTTGACATCGGTTGAAGCAAAATGCACTCAAACACACATACACACACAGACACACACACACCACACCACACCACACCACACACACACACACACACACACACACACACACACACACACACACACACACACACATGTCCTGTCCTGTAGAGTCACTGCCGCAAAAGGATCACGTAATCCCATCACGGGAAAACTTGAGAAGAGAGAGAGAGAGGGCACGACGCCGAATGACCCTCCAGGTGCACGGGTAGTCGCATCCGCTTGCCGCATATGCACACGTGCTGGATGGTTGAGCGTTCCTCTGCTGTTGGTCTATGGGCCACCCTTGAACAGTGATGGCTGCCCAATCCCCGGATATCGCGAAAGCAGCGGCCACACCTGTCACAATGCGCGGCACAACATCCCTCCGCCGGTGCCGACGCTCGGTTAGCTCCAGGTGGCACTGTGGCATCCACCGCACATACATGCCGGACCAAGCCACCGCGGCTTCTCAGCCACCGCCCACACCGCCCGCACTGACCGGCGCCCCGCTGCTCAGACACAGGCCGTGCACGCTCCTCCAGACACTATGCCGAGTCATGTCTACTTTGCGTGCAAAATCTCGTCCACATACCGTACATACCACTCGGAGCGGAGTCTCAGGCGCATTGTCAGGCTCTTGATATGTGCTGCGCCACTCCGCGCGAGACTCACATGCAACATCATACCATGATGCCTCCACATCATGGGCACGTAGATCCTGGACAGCACAGTCCTTCCACCTGCGACGTGGGCGATGTGCTGGGCGACGCTGCAAGACTCAGTCAAACAGCACCTGTTTCGGGATGCGGTTGTCCGGCATCCGCGCCACATGCCCCAACACACACACACACACACACACACACACACACACACACACACACACACACACACACACACACACACACACACATACACACACACACACACACTACTACTACTACTACTACTACTACTACTACTACTACTACTACTACTACTACTACTACTACTACTACTACTACTACTACTACTACTACTACTACTACTACTACTACTACTACTACTACTACTATGATACAGCTACCCTAAACGGGTCACGCCGCCCTCCACCCAAGCATGAGCACTATGAGGGGCAGTGGCAAATAAAGAGAATCAGCTAGCAGAACTGGCAAAACAGATGAAACAATGGAGCAGACGACTGCTGTACAATCATGTACGAGTACTGTAACAACAACCTGACAGCTACAGTGACAACGACTGAAAATGAACAGGAAAGAAAAAATAATAATTCAAAATTTCACGCCACGAAAAAAACACTGTCCACGAAAGAATCCACCAAGCAAAAGGAGTGTGGGCATCCGAAATCCCACCAGGACTCCACTAGCAGTTCTTTAGCGTTGACGATGTAAGCAGCAGGGCAATGCCTCACAAATCCGACAGACTTCCGCAATGCTTGGCCAGTGCACTCATGACGACGAAAGATTGAAGTTTCAATTCCCACCATTCCGCCATTGCGACCTTCCTCTCCGCACTCGCTCGTCCACTCCACTGAAACAACGACTTGTTCCAGCACTCCACCAGCCAATCCGCAATTCCCACCACTGCATTCTTCGAGCTTGGATTCTTCACAGCACTCGAGGGATAGCTACTCCACTGCGAGTGGTCACACACACACACACACACACACACACACACACACACACACACACACACACACACACACACACACACACACACACACACACACACACACACACACACACACACACACACACACACACACACACACACACACACACACACACACACACACACACACACACACACACACACACGAACACGCACATACACATTCATATGGACTGACTTGAGACTTGACTGACTCACGACTGCATGTAGAGCACATACAATGCCCAGCGAACCTGTTGAATCCTTGCTTAATCTAGAGACTTGTTTCTTCTCACATTCTTCTGCTTGTTCTCTCTGTCCACTACATTTTTCATTGCCATCTCATTTCTAGTTGTCAACAATTATTGTACTGTGCCAACTGTCACCCATGGCCGTGGTGACAAGAGAGTTCTGTCATACCTTCAACAAGTAAATTTCACATGTGACACTGGCTATAGTATAAATGGATCAGTAACAGCGACTTGCAGTGCTACTGGAACTTTGGCAGGGCTGAAACCTGTCTGTAACAGTAAGTCGAGTCATTTTCCTGGGAACAAAAACTGCTTTTTCAAAGATATGTATTCCAGACATCTCTGACCACAATCACAATTCCCCAAGCCGGGAAAAGGCAGTGCTTTCTTGAGTGTTATCAAGTTGCCTGCAATAATAATAATAATTATAATAATGTGGAAAGGAAAAGGACGTATGGATACGAGTTAAGAGTAACTCTCCATCACTGTAACTGGATACTATATACAGTCAGAAAGTGCAATAACTAGGCACAAAACTGACAAGAGTACTGAGACATTCGACGTCCTGACACCTAGCTTCAACACATGTCCACATGTCTCAGTACTCTTGTCAGTTTTGTGCCTAGTTATTGCACTTTCTGACTGTATATAGTATCCAGTTACAGTGATGGAGAGTTACTCTTAACTCGTATCCATATGTCCTTTTCCTTTCCACATTTATTTATGGCTCAACATCCGAGTTTCAAGTTATAATAATAATAATAATAATAATAATAATAACAGCAATAACAACTCGCATGTACCCCACGGATGAGATCACCCATGGGGCTAGCGCATCTGTCGGCAAAAAGAGTTAGAGAAAACGAGAAACACATGACATACACACCTTCTCCATGCTGTTATTGCAGGGAAAACTACCTCGATTCCACCGTGAGCCTAGGCATGAGGAATATAATATTAGGTACAGAATGTTATTTACCAAAAAGATATTCAAGTAAGCGCAAATATTTTTAGCATGCAAACATGTAGCATAAACCCAAGAAGAATGTAGTCTGAGGGGCAAGAAGACAATTTTATATTATGGTTAGATGGTTCTGCTGCTCCACACAGTCCACGTAGTTCTGGCTAACAGCTAACAAAGGAGTAGTAAAATACCTACTACTCCCTGCACAGGATCCCGTGACTGGATGAACTGGACTCCTGCACCGTGAATAGGGGGGACTTGTAGAAAAAGTGTACTCCTTATAGGGGATTCTGCTGCTGGATGGAGCTGATGAAAATTGAGCGGACTCCTGGACTCTGTTTAGTGGATTTTGGACCAATGGACTCTATATAGGGTGCTGGACACCATATAGTGCATGGACTTTATACTGAGTCCTACATATATGGTATGGGTAGATGGTTCAGTCTGTTTGCCCAGGAATACACTTGACATCACCTATCATCTCTCAATCATGGTCTTGGACCAACTTAGTTTATCTGCCGGGTCCTTGGGTCTCTGACATGCACATACAATTATTGCATTTCAGAACGGGCAGCATTTCACCTTCATTCTCAAATATCCTTCCTTGTTCTTGTTTTGCTAGTTGTAAATTGCACAGTGCCAACACTCATGAATGGCAATGCAAACAAGACAATGGTGTCCTATCTTCAGAGTGTGAACTACATCTGTAATACTGGTTATAGAATGAATGGATCTGCAACAGCAATGTGCAGTGCTGATGGAACTCTACAAATGCCTACTTGCAACAGTGAGTACAAAATAATGTAAACTATTATAAGTAATGTCAATAATGGCAATCTAAAGGCAATCTTCTTGGCTTTGTATGAAGACATCCAAGAAGAAGATTGCCGGATGAGTCCAGCGGGGACGAAACGTACGTCGCGATCAAGCTATGTCGTTGCTCATCTTACATGTGCCATGCACTACTTCACTACTTGATGTACCAGCCTGCTATGGCGGATACCGTCAATCATGCATCAAATAGGCACCAGGCGCGAACTCATGGTGGTGGTGGTGAGAATAAGAGCTCTGTGCCAGAACTGCGCAGCCTAGATAGCGTGTGTGGGTAGGCGTGTGTTTAGCGCCATATTGCCAGGTGTGTCTTTACCACCGTTATTTATCAACCAAAAGTACAGCTGCAGTGGTGTCTTCAACTTCATTCTCTTGAGCCAAGCTCCGTATGAAGACATCCAAGAAGAAGATTGCCTAATGAGTCCAGCGGGGATGAAATGTACGTCGCAATCGAGCTATGTCATTCCTGCGTCATCTTCTTTGTGCCATGCGCTACTTGATGTACCAGCATTCTATGTCAGATACCGCCAACCATGCATTGCCTAGGCACCAGGCGCGAACTGCTGGTGGTGGTGGTGAGAAGGAGAGCTCTGTGCCAGAACTGTGTAGCCTAGAGAGCGTGTGTCGGCAGGCGTTTGTTTACCGCCATATTACCAAGTGTGCCTTTACCACTATATTTATCAACAGTAAATACTCCATCACTGTAACTGGATACTATATACAGTCAGAAAGTGCAATAACTAGGCACCAAACTGACAGAGTTCTGAAACATTCGACGTCCCGACACCTAGTTTCAACACATCTCTGTAGCGCTAACCGAAAGCCTTCCGACTTGGAACTCGTATCGATATGTACTTTTCTTTTCTACATTTATTTATGGCTCAACATCCGAGTTTCAAATTGCACACCTGATGAGCCGTCACGAACCTTACGGCGAAACGTACTTCGTGTGAAACAACTTGTTTTGTAGTCAACTAGTCCATCACAATGTCATGCATGAGGAGTACTGTAGGAGTTTGGCTTTCGGCTTGTACAATTCGTTTTCGCAAAGCTTCCCCTTTCTTTACTTATCTTTGATATTTATGACCCACCTAAGTTGGGTGGTGTGCTGCTTTGCTGCTTCGAATTGGAGTTAGAACGCTTTGTCAAGTATCGTACTGGTCTCGTCATCGTCCAGTAACAATCGACATTCTTTGTTCCGTTGGGACTGTAGCTTTTGCTCGTTTTCGTTGCGCTTGCCTTCCGCTCTTTGGTCTTTTCATAACCTTGAACCTTCCAAGTTGGAAGGCTGTCGGTTAGCGCTACGGAGATGTGTTGAAGCTAGGTGTCAGGATGTCGAATGCCTCAGTACTCTGTCAGTTTTGTGCCTGGTTATTGCACTTTCTGACTGTATATAGTATCCAGTTACAGTGATGGAGAGTTACTCTTGACTCGTATCCATATGTCCTTTTCTTTTCTACAAGTAAATAATGTAAACTAAAAAACTCAAATGTTGAGCCAATGGTAATTTGCAAAGAGAAAAGGACCTATAAGTCACTTGCTATGACTAACAGTTTACCAAGGTAACGAGATAGTCAGATAGTGCCACAACAACGCACAAAACTGGGAAGGATATTGAGACATTCGGCGACCTGACACCTAGTTCCAACACACCTACAAAGCGCAAACCAACAAACTTCCATCTTGGAAGGCTCAGGTGCGGAAATGCAGGGATGCGCCAGGGATGCTCAGGGATGTGCCATCAAGATGAGCACAAGCCATGTCCCTCAGCAGCAAGGAATGCCGAACGTTACGGGATGATGATGACGAGACTAGTACGACCATTTGGACAAACCGGTCTAGCTATAACTCGAAGGCAATAGACCACCCAACTTGGAAGGCTAAACTGTATGTAAAATTACATGAAGAGGGGAAGCCAAGCAAAGACGACCTGCCACGAACTGAGCGGCAATAACCTACTAAACACCTTGTTAATGCTACGATGGTGGACACGTTTGATACAATAGCAAGTGGTTTCACACGACGTATGTTTCGCCGTATTGCTGGTGAAGTCCTTCCACACATTGGAACTTTCCGCACCCGAGCATTACAAGTTGGAAGGTTGTTGGCACTTTTCAAGGGAGGGCTGTATTTTTTCACTAGCTCTTGGAGACTGGTGAAATATTCGAGATAGGGTGCTATTCAAGAGAGGGCGCTAATCGCGCAAGTATGGTACACACACACACACACCACAGGCACCCGCACGCACACACACACACACACACACACACACACACACACACACACACACACACACACACACACACACATACACCCGCATGCATGCACGCATATGCATCAATTATGCGCAGTAATTGAGAAAACAAGACAGTTGACCAAGAGCCGATTGTGGGCAGATATATGTCTTTACGCCCAAACCCAGTCTTTACGTTGTGTGTGCTGATAGGTCTTCTGTTCGAAGGTTTGTAGGCCACTGTAGCAGTGTTTTTCGCTTAGGACTGCAGATGGTAGGGAATTCCAGGTAGGCACGAAGCCTTATGTGAAGGTTAGTAGTGGCTCAGTGTTGGAGCATGGATGGAGGGGAATGCTGAGCAGCTGATTGTGGCCTTCCAACTGCTGAGACTGCCATCTTGCGCAGGGTTATCTGGCAGCTCCTGCTGAGGAGGGAGCTGGGGCTGAAGAAAAATTAATGGTAGGTGTGTGCGGAGTGCTGGAATTAAAATAGCTTTAAGTTCATGGTCTTACATAACGTGGTAAGCTGTTTCTCCGACCTTTCTTCTTCTTCATTCTCCACCTGTCCCACGTAATTTATGTCTTTTCTAGTTGTCAATTGTACTGTACCAACTATAACCCATGGCCGTGGTGACAAGAGAGTTCTGTCATACCTTCAACAAGTGAATTACACATGTGACACTGGTTATAGTATAAATGGATCTGAAGAAGCAACTTGCAGTGAGAATGGAACTTTGACAGAGCTGACACCTGTCTGTAACAGTGAGTTGCTTTCATTCCTGGAATAAACACTGCTTTTTCAATATTATGTGTGCCAAACATCTCATGACGGTCGCCTTCTCTATAGGACTTCGCGTCGGCAGCACGACTGCCTGTGTGGTTCAAATCAGTCGCTGCTCTTTGCAAGATTTATTTTGATCGACAACGACGACGCGTACAGTACTGTACTTGCAAATCTCCACGATGCGCTGGATACTCGAGCGTTGAGCCCGAGGTGAGGGAACTGCTATCTCAGCTTTGTGAGCGATCCCTGAGGTGAGCGATCTCGGTCATTTTGCAAAATGGGACTGATTCCGAGTAGCCAATTACTTTCTTGTGCGTCGTGCTGCACTTGTCTGCGCAGTGTGACAAGATAATCTATTTTGATGCGGCGCTGTTTCAATCAGAATCACCCACCCGTCGCTCTCGAAATCCACTCGAAATCTAGCTAAACCTTTCAGGTACTAGTGTTAGCTCCCGGCTAATGAAGTCCCCTCACACCAGAACACAGGGGTTTTATGGTATTGAATATGAAAGTATTTCGACAAGAGTGTAGACAAGAATGAGAAGGAGAACAGGACAACGGCAACTCAAGACTAGAACAGAAAAAAAACAGAACTGGAGCATGCGCTCTTCTATGTGAGTGGCTCTCATTGCTAGGGGAAACGAGCGGGAAATACGAATAGTGAGTATGACATTGTACAGGTCGTAGCATAAATACACCTATTACACTAGCAAACTAACTTACGAATCAAAATTGGGATGAAAGGGCTGCCAAGTGAGCATAGGCGACATTAAAAACAAAAACTGATAGATAAGCGACAATAGTGCTGACGCGGACCAAGTACGTTCTTGGTGACTGGAAGAGAATCGCACAACCAATGTTTCTCGGTCCTGTACAGCACAATGTCGTCGTAGCCGGTCTCACTCAGAATGTCACCTGGCGGGTGCTGACGGCACTGCTTCAAAGCTGCCTCGAGATAACACAGAGACAATAGCGGGCTAAGTCCATTGTCGTGTGGTTTAGCCAACGGTGCTGCTCAGGCGCTGAGAGGTCGATCCCTCCAACTTGACGACCCCAGTTGTCGAAAGCAGTAGATTGTGGATCAGGTGTAAGACGTCGGGTTCAACAATAGAAGCCTTTACGGACAGCAGCCTGTGGTGATCGACAGTATCGAGTGCAACTCATTCTAAAAATGGTCTCATTTGCCAATAGTTGAAGCAGAGTAACTCATCTAGAGCTGGTTTCTCAGAATTATTGTTTATTACCTATTTAATCTTGTACCCTTTTTTCATTCCAAACATCCTTTCTCCAACATCAATTTCGTCTTTGTTCTTGTTCTGCTAGTTGTAAATTGCACAGTGCCAACACTCCTGAATGGCAATGCAGACGAGACAATGGTGTCCTATCTTCAGAGTGTGAACTACACGTGTAATACTGGTTATAGAATGAATGGATCTGCAACAGCAATGTGCAGTGCTGATGGAACTCTACAAATGCCTACTTGCAACAGTAAGTGCAACTGATGTAAACTATAGAGAAAGCTATGTTTGGTTTCTGGTGATCGCATAGTTCGTGACACTCGGAGTAACAACATCCTTTTTGTCGTCAGGAATCAGAACTCAATGGTTGCAAGGAGAAGCTTGTCGTTTGGAGTGACAAGTGATCACCGGTGCTTATCCTAGCCAGAGTCTAAAATACACTTTGTTCTTCAACGTAGGGAGAAGTGGTGGAGTAGAAATTACTGAGAAGCTGTCGCGGAGGGGGGAGGGGCGCAGTGGCGAGCTTTCCTGCACAGGTATGACTTTGGCCGTATTTCAGCATGATGGAAAGGAAAAAGTCGAAAAGTTTATTTCAAGAAAACCCAAGAACAAAGATGGGGGACATGTCCCCAGTGCTAGAAGATGTGCTCTACTATCTGCCGGTGTATAGTTCTTGCTAATTGGAGACGTAGCTCATAGTTTTATCAGCGCTTGTGCACTGGATATTATCAAGATGATCATTTGGGGTGTAAAAGAAGCGTTGGCCCTCGTATCCTAGGAGGCTGGCGTGGCTAAGCGGTACTGCTCCAGGAACTCTTTTAAGGTGAAGAAATGTTGGCTTGATGGAGTTTTGTACGTAGCTTGTTCTTGTACACTGTGGCATGACTCATTTCTGGATCCATAAAATTAATAATGTGATTTTGCCGCCATTTTTGAAGGGAATGCAAGTTTCAAGTTTCCCTTCAGAAACCTTTTCTGAGGCTTTGCACCGGCGATGTAGACCCCAAAGGGAAACTTCCTGCAACTGTTGAACGATATCGGAGAGATACACTTGCACACATACTTTCGTGTCCTCCGACATGCTCATATAGGATACCCAAGCTAGGTATGATACATTGAAGTAGAAATTCATCGGGCAGGGATAGGGCAGCAGCTTTGGTCTGTCATTCACGATGTTTCACAGCAATCACTACCGCATCCTATCGCTTGCCAAAACAACTTATTAACCAGAAAATTAATTCTTAGCTGGGCTGTTCATTGACTATCCACTCTTTCCTATCTCCACCCTAGAGCCTCCCATTATAATGGAACTATCTTCAATTTAGACTATGTCTTTGGGAAATCCTAAAATATTTAAAGAAAGCAAATCACTTCCTTTTTCCAGCGTCCTTCTTTGTTTCTGCGCTGTTAGTTGTTATTTGCACAGTCAATATACTCATAAACGGCATTGCGGACAAGACAATGGTGTCCTATCTTCAGAGTGTGAACTTCACGTGTAATACCGGTTATAGTATGAATGGATCTGCAACAGCAATGTGCAGTGCTGATGGAACTCTACAAATGCCTACTTGCAACAGTAATAGTAAGTGCAAATTCAATGTAGACTATGAAAAAGTTGTTACTGTGCTGTATTACTGTCGATACAGTCAGACCTCGTTTGCCCGGTTCCCTCGCCATCCGGATTAATACCATTGGTAACTGATTTTTCAGCATACATGACATGACTTGCATGCAACATAACCAGCCCCAGGATCCGCATACCGGAGCACGGTTTTGTGTACAAACGGGTTAAAACGCGTACACAAATTCCTGTCATATCCGGCTTACAAGTGACAAGCAGACCCCAGAACGGGAGTTTTACAAAAACCAAAGAAAAGGTTTGGATGACTCAGTGACCCAATGCCCGCCTGCATACAGCACTCAGCTACTTGCTCCTGCCATTTCTCTTGCTAGTTATTTACAGAGTACCGTCATACATACCATCTGTACTGCATGGTACACATGTACATGGACACATAATGTTACAACTTATGATGTGCTACATGCATCATAGTAAAGTATGTGCGTTCGGTTATGTTATTCCCTCGCCTATCCGGGTATTATAGTGTGGAAATGTGTTCGGTCATGCGAGGTCTGACTGCATAGACTTTTCCCGCATTGGCGTTGCCAAGCAAGCTTGGCAAGCTGTTGCATAAGCCACTCCCAAAGAACGCAACCACAAACTATTGTGAACAACGAGAGAGGAGAACTAACATTTTTCCTCGCTTTTCTTTAATCAAGTGGAGTGAGGAAGGGAATAGAGCGATGTTTGAGAGCTCATTGACATTCAGTGAAGAGCCTGTACTTGCAGCTTGTCGACTGCTTGTACACCCGGATCTCCGTCAAGGTGGGGCACTGAGGCCAGGTGAGCGTGTGGCCGAGATTGTGCTCACTAGTTGGCGGGGGCTAGTCGAGCTCCACGAGAGGGTACTGACTCAGTATCAGTAGTTTCAGAACTACCATCCCAACATGGGCATTGCAACGGCTGCAGAATGTTTGTATGTTTGAGTCTGCCTTGTCTCGAGTCTCCACACACTATGTACGAACTCCTACAAAGATGACTCATTTCAAATGAAGAGAAATCTTTGATGCAGGATAATGACAACTGCTTGTGCAGTGCCTTCTGCTAGAGCATTACAGCACCTACTTGCCTTTAGTTTTTTTTTGTTTTTTTTGTCGTCCGGTATGTTCTCTTGCTGTTGTGATTGTTCTCTTCCCTTCTACGCACTTTCATAAAAATAAATAAAATAAACGCACAAGGAAATCGTAGGCGGTGCGGTTGATCTCATGCACATTCAAACTTCATGACGGCCTTGTGCAACTTTCTTGACTCACTTGACTCACTGATCCTTATGCACATATATACAGCATTCCCTCACTAGTGGGACCATTGTTCTTAGGCTAGGGCCTGTTTTGGACTTCCCACTCTAAATAAAGAAAACAAACAAACAAACAACAAAACGAAACTAGTAAGGGCCAGCTGGTGTGGGCGTTTGCCAAGACATGGGCGTGCACATAAGACTTTGCTGCAATCGATTCCATATAAAATCTTTTTCGATGAACGAATCCATGTGTCTGTTCATTAAGGTTCTGGGAGTTGAAAATTATAAAAATCTGACGGAAAAAAGAATGGCAATGGGGTTTTACATGTGTTCTTTGTAACCTGCAGGTTCGGGAGAAGCTGGCTCTGATCCCAAGAGTTCCACTTCAGTTTTGGTGTCCGTTGCTATACTGGGCGGTGGAGGGGCAATTGTCGCCGCTGCTGTTATCGTATATCAACGGCAGCAAAATGCTAAGTTGCGCACTTCATGTAAGTAATGTTTGCTGCAGCAGTTTTCAATTTCCCCATTTTTTGGGCTAAACTCCTGTTGTGTAGTGAAGATCGCAACCTCCAGTATTTTACAAAGAGACTGTCCAGCCCTTTTGTTTCTTCATCTTTTGATTATCTGACTTGAACCTAGTGAGGAGATTTGGCTACTCTATCCTTCCCTCCCTCCCTACCTAACCATCAGCATTGTTGAATTCGTTCTGCTTCACCACATGCTCTCTGTCCCTCTCTCTCTCTCTATCTATCTCTATCTCTCTCTCTGTCTCCCTCTCTCTCTCTCTCCCTCTCTCTCCCTCTCTCTCTCTCTGTGCCTCTCTCTGTTTCTCTCTGTCTCTCTCTCTCTCTCAGTCTCAGTTTCTGTCTCCGTCTCTCTTTATCTCTCTCTCTCTCTCTCTCTCTCTCTCGCTCTGTCTCTTTCCCCTCTCGCTCTCTTTCTCTCTCTCTCTCTCCCTCTCTCTCTTTCTCTTTTTCTCTCTCTCTCTCTCTCTCTCTCTCTCTCTCTCTCTCTCTCTCTCTCTCTCTCTCTCTCTCTCTCTCTCTCTCTCTCTCTCTCTCTCTCTCTCTCTCTCTCTCTCTCTCTCTCTCTCTCTCTCTCTCTCTGTGTCTTTCTCTCTCTCGGTCTCTCTCTCGGTCTCTCTCTCTCTCTCTCTCTATTAATTTTATCCATGATCACATTAGATCACCAACACGGCTCTCCTTTCATTTTATTTTTTCTTCTTTTGTGATTCTTCATTTCAGCATATGACATTGGGCTGGGCAAAGAGCAGCCTGAAGGACAACAAGAAAGTCGTGTTGCTATGCCCCTCAAGGGTACCTACAATCCTGGTCAATCTGGAAGTGAACTAACTGGTCATGTTCCTGAACAGCAAGGTGGAACGTATATGAACCGAGAGCCGGCGAAGAAGGGACAACTAAGCCCTCAGGACCCTCGAAGCCGTACATATCAGAATCTTGCGAACCAATACTCTGAAACATCATTTTACAGTACAGATACTATGTTGCCTGCTAATGATGGAAATGATGTCTGTGAGGAATCAGGGGTTCAGGGTCTAGGCACTGACATTTATGAGGTTGCCGACCAAAACAAAACAACACAAGGTTCCCAACAGAAACTAATTGACACTGGCTTGGCAACACTGGAAGATCTCTACACAACCTACGGCAACGGAGATTCTTGCCCTGGATCGCGCAAGAACAGCATGTGTATGTATGGCAATGCAGATTCTCCAAGGGCATCATGCAGTGACAATGGCCAAGCCTTGAGTTACAAAATGGCACTGAAATCGTCCGGAAACTTGTCATCCCTGAAACCTGACACTGGCTTGGCAACACTGGAAGATCTCTACACAACCTACGGCAACGGAGATCAGGACCCTCGAAGCCGTACATATCATAATCTTGCGAACAAAAACTCTGAAACATCATCTTACAGTACCGATACTATGTTGCCTGCTAATGATGGAAATGATGTCTATGCGGAATCAGGGGTGCAGGGTCTAAGCACTGACATTTATGAGGTTGCCGACCAAAACAAAACAACACAAAGTACCCAGCAGAAACTAGTTGACACTGGCTTGGCAACACTGGAAGATCTCTACACAACCTACGGCAACGGAGATTCTTGCCCTGGATTGCGCAAGAACAGCATGTGTATGCATGGCAATGCAGATTCTCCAAGGGCATCATGCAGTGACAATGGCCAAGCCTTCAGTAACAAAACGGCACTGAAATCGTCCGGGAACTTGTCCCCCCTGAAACCTGACCCTTCGCTTTCAGGCAACAGTATTCTTGCATACGACAATCGGAACAATGAACAAGCAGCGGTGCAGGGTCTATGCACTGACATTTATGAGGTTGCCGACCAAAACAAAACAACACAAGGTTCCCAGCAGAAACTAGTTGACACTGGCTTGGCAACACTGGAAGATCTCTACACAACCTACGGCAACGGCGATTCGTGCCCTGGATCGCGCAAGAACAGCATGTGTATGTATGGCAATGCAGATTCTCCAAGGGCATCAGGCAGTGACAATGGCCAAGCCTTCACTTACAACATGGCACTGAAATCGTCCGGGAACTTGTCACCCCTGAAACCAGACCATTCGATTACAGGCAACAGTATTCTTGCATACGACAATCTGAACAAGGAACTAAAATTGAACTCTGATGTTCTGACAACAGTGTTTGGACAGAGTTCCACTGATCCTGAAGACACTGAGTATATATATGGAAATGCAGAGTCGCGCGAGGCCTCACGGAACAACAGTTTGGTTGGCAACGACAACAGGGAATCAGGCCAGGCCAATGGAAACTCACTCCAGACCTCATTCACGAACAGTATAGACTTCTATGCCGTTGGCATTTCCTCAGGGACTTTCTCTGAGGACTATTGGGCACGTTTTCAGATGGGAGAAAGTAGTGCTGGAAATGGCCTAGATATTCACCACCTATCAACCGATGAAATTCCCAATGTTAGCGGTAACGCTAGTACCTCAGCAGGATTGTCCGAAGAAGCGGCTACCAAAGACATGACCTTTGGAAATGGACCATCACGAAATGGTTCTCGTCATGCCAGTGCTGAACAGTCCTGGACCGAGGTATCAAACAGGGATTCATCTCAGGCTTTAAGCAGCACTTCACAGCAAGATGGTAGCAAGGCGGAGGAAACTCTGACCATGGGACCTTATCAGACTCCATATGTTTCGGCAACAGCAACTAGAAAGAGTTCAATTTTAGGTGATGCAACTGCAAACCTACCTGATCAATATCCCACATCTGACAAGTCTCTGCAGCCATCTAATGCATGCCCAGCTCTCAGTGATGGCCAGGGTCAGGCGTCCACAGGAAACGTACCTGTTCAATGTCAACGCATCTCATCTCATGCAGGCGGGAAAAGTTTGACTTCGGCAGTTTCCCAAGGCGGAACACCACCTCCAGGAAGCCCTGTGTCGAGAACTTCGTCTAGTGCTGCAGGCTTCAGTTCAGCTGTTGGCTTTCAACGTGGCAAAATGCCACTAGCCTCAATATCTAACGAAGTGAAGCAGCTACAGCCATTGCCAGTTGGAATCATCCCGACATCGACTACATCAGTAGATGATGTATATGCGCACTTACCAGAGCCAAATGAGGCTCAAGAGGAATTCATCGAGCCTTACTTCAGTTCTGAGGATGAGGAGCAGGAGGATGAGAATGATGGAGTGTATGGTACCATCAATTAGTAACAGACCATGTATCACAGACCTATGAGGGTTGGGACAGATAGTTCTTCCATTTCTTGTCAAGCGCACTTCCTCTATGCGATTTCACTGTTAGTTAAGACTTTACTGAGGGGAAACATAACATGGTAACTTTCCCCACTTGTCTCTCTTTTGAATCCCCCGATACACACACTCACACACACACACACGCACAAACACACACACACACACACACAAACACACAAACACACAAACACACAAACACACACACACACACGCCACTCTTGACATTTTCCCTCGACACTATTGCCGAAGCTGACCATCAAGATATTCTTTCAGGTGCGCAATGAATATCAATAGTCAATAATAGGTCTGCACCTCTCATCTCCTCTCCCCATTTTCACATTTGTTTTCATAATGTTTTCCCATTACTCGTTGGAAACATTATGTCCTCATTTTTTGCTACTTCATTCTTCAAAGTACATCCCTCCTTTCCTCTTTCCTAATTTTTCAAGTGGATGTTCAATTTATCCAGATTTCAACTCTCTCCCCCATGTTTCATTCTCCTATTTATCCCCTTCTTTTACCCCCTCATTCATTGCCATTCCGGATCACTACACTGCGATATTGTGTGCGCTGCGGTATTGTTCGAAGAATTAAATTAAAAAAAATCAATGTACATGCAGAGGTTGCCAATAGTACCCCCTCTTTTCTTCTCCTCTCTCAACCACTCGTTTATGCCCGTCTTTCATCTCCTCCCTTAATAGTAATGATAATAATTTTATTACGATGACCCAAAGGCAAATCGCCTATCGGGGGTTCACCGCATTGAATGGTTGTGGTATGACAAAGCAAAGAGGCAACCATTGTGTGTGTGTTGGTGTGTGTGTGTGTGTTCGTTCGATGGGGGGGGGGGGGAGGGGGAGTTTCGAACTATGCACAGTGAAGGGATAATTGTATGTACATAACCAAGGATAGGGTATACCGGACAAAGTTGCCATTTTTGGGAACAACGGATTGGGACGTATAACAGTATTGTGGTAATGAGTGCAACATCATAAAAAAAAATAGTTGTAGAGGTTAAGGAAGACAGATTCCCGCAGTATGAAAAGCATATTTTGCAAGTGTTTGCGAGGAGTGTGGCGATACAGAGGAAGAGACGTGAGTGAAGTTATAGCGGGTGGGCGACAGTTCCACAGTATGCATATTTTATAAAGGAAGAGTTTAGAAACATGTCGGCCATGTTAATGTTGATCTTGCTGGGATGTCTTGGGATGCTGTTAAACTAGATTTGTATTCTATTGCATTTATTTTACATCGCAAGTCAAACGGGCAATCATGCCCAATGTTATGATGACGATGGAAAGGGAGAAAAGAACAAGATTAGTTATCCTGGATTATGGGGAGTGAAGAAAACAGTGAGTCTAGGAATCTCTCCTTAGAGCATCTTAACATTGGTCATGAAAGTAGACTTTCAATGGACGTGAGAGTTGAGATGTGCTAGGGCAGGCCAACTAGAGGGGAATGCTAGGTTGTGAGACTCCGAAGTACATCTATTCTGTGTTTGTTTTATGTTTGAATTCTTTTTTTTTATTTTTTTTTATTTTATTCTCACGATGGCCTGTGGCCAATGAGAGAAAAATAATTACAGGCACGGGGATCAGATACAGAGAGATCAAAGTTTAGCTGCTTGCTGAGGCAGTAGCGATGGCAATACTAATTGGGAATTAATCACGTAGGCTGGGCGCAATGGAGCTATAGATGTGCTGAGCAATGTGAGCAAGTACATACGGAAGAGATGACAAGTGGTAGGATGTTTGCTTTGAAATCTCGTCTGGGGTTGATTTGCCGGATGCTGGGTGGGATGCTATTAAAGAGATCAAGAGAAGCATAGATGGGGGAGTCTCTTAGCCGATTTGTACGTGTTGTGGGTAGCTCAAAGGTTCGGGGGAACCTGAGCGTGCGAATGGGTTGTATTCGGGGTAGGTGAATTGCAAGAAGGTGTGGTGGTGCATATCTATGGTGCAGGCTGTGTGCAAGAAGGATATGGGAGAGGGTACGGCGGCTGCTGAGTGATGGCCATTTGAGTCGGTGCAGCAGCACGGAGTGGGTTCTGTGTTCAAAGAGGGGGAGATGCAAACAGAGGCGAGCAGCGCGCCGTTGGATGCGCTCAAGCCGGTCGTTCAGGGTTGCGGGGAGGGGTGAGAGGACAGTGCAAGCATACTCAAGAATAGGGCGGATGTAGGTTAGATAGATGGAGGAGAGAGCAGAAGTGTTTAAGGAATTGCGTAGTCGCAGGAGAAGGAACATCTTCCTGGTCGCTTTAGTGATGATGTAGTCAACATGCGAGTTCCAGCATAGATTCTGCTGTATGAGGAGGCCAAGGTGGCGATGCCTTGAGGCCACAGTGAGGTTGGTATCGTTAAGTGTGATTGATGGTGGTCTGGGAGGTGGCCGGTTGGTGTGGTGAAAGTGGATGACAGTGGTCTTACTTTCGTTGACCAGGAGATGCCAATCCTTCAGCCACTGTGCCGCGGTTGTCACAGCTGACTGGAGGTGCTCTTCTGCGGCTAGAAAATTCTCGTGAGCGGCAATGATGGCAGTGTCGTCGGCAAACTGGCTGCACTCAGTGTTGGCATTTATGCAGGCGGTTGGCAGATCAACTGTGTACGCCGTGAACAAAAGCGGCCCCAAGACAGAGCCTTGGGGGACCCCCGCTGGAATGTTTAGCCATGTTGATTTGCTGCTCTCCACTTGCACACGTTGTCGTCTATTGGTGAGATAGGAGGCAAGCCACTGGAGGCATTTGCCATCGAGTTCGAGGTGGGCCAATTTTGCAAGCAGTCCTTGGTGCCACACCCGGTCAAACGCCTTAGAGAGGTCGAAGAAGCAAGCAATTACTGTTTGCCCGGCGTCTCTTTTCTCGGTGATCTGATGGATTAACCGAGATAGCTGCTGTGTGGTGCCATCGTTTGGCTCAAACCAGCACAGCCAAATACCTTGGTATTTGTCTGGACGAGCGCTTGAGCTGGGCAGGTCAAGTGGCTGCTGTAGAGAAGAAGGTGTCCTACAAACTCCGAGTCTTGCACCACATCTAAGCAGACATCACCCGTGCGCAGTCCCTCCTTTACTACACAGCTCTTATCCTACCTGACCTACTCTACGCCTCGAACGCCTACTTTGCCTGCCTCTCAGCAAGCCTCAAACAGACCCTCATCAGACTGGATAAGCACTGCATCCGCTGTATCACAACCCAGCCCTCGCGTGCCCACAATATGCAGCTGTATGCCCAACCCGGCATTTGTCCGGCTGTCGAGCGGGCGGATTGCAAGTTGCCGCTTCTCGTACACCGCATTCTTCATGGCAATGTCAGTTTGCTGCTCAAATCACGCCTGGAATACAGTTCACTGTCCCGTACCACCAGAGGTCAGGATGCCTGCAATCTTCCCCTTTCCAACATTCGCAGTACTTCGGGATCTCACAGACCAGTTTTTGTTGCTGCTAAGTTGTGGAATCTTTTGCCCTTGTCCTTAAAGTCATGCCCTACCAGATGCCGATTCACATCTCAACTCTCACGTCCATTGAAAGTCAAACTTTCAGTAAACGCTTGAATCGGCATCTGGTAGGGCATGACTTTAAGGACAAGGGCAAAAGATTCCACAACTTAGCAGCAACAAAAACTGGTCTGTGAGATCCCGAAGTACTGCGAATGTTGGAAAGTACGAGAAGCGGCAACTTGCAATCCGCTTGGCTGTGCTGGTTTGAGCCAGAGGAGTGCCACGACATGTAACTTCAAGCTGTAGTCTGTTCCGCCTTCCGGCGGAGATTGTAATAGTTTTCCCTTGACACTTCTTGCTTGTCTTATGGTAACACGTTGTGTTCCTACTATTCTCACTCCTGCGGTTCTCGCCTTTCTTTTGCTTTATAACCTCTGGTTTGAACATCATTCGATGAATTCTCCAATCAATCAAGTCTATACTGTTACACTGGTAGCTTGAGGATGGTTGAGATCATCGTTTGCCCTTTGACGTGCCTTGTGCTCCTGGCCGCTACTGCTCTGCTATACGCCGCTTTCCGTGAGATCCACGGCGCTCGGGACAACGTGGCTGCTACAGTTGGACGACATCAATTTCCTGCTACATCAAGCTCAAGTCCTACGGATCTAGCCCCGTGTCGATCGCGTTCTCTCTCCCAGACAAGCCCGAGCGTCAAACGCGTTACCAGAGAACCGAATGTTTTCCATGGCAACCCTTCCGAGTTCAAAGAGTGGGTATTTACGGTCGAGTTATTATTATTATTCTTTATTTCCACGAGTTAGCCTTGAAGTGCTCACCTCAAGGTGACCCGGAGAGCCAAGTTAACTTTGCGGCTAGCCACCTCGCTGGGAATGCGCGTCTTTGGCTAATTTCTTCCGTGGAAGCAGGTGAGCAATTTTCGGATTGGCATTCTTTGAAAAGCGCCCTAGCGCGAGTGTATGGCCCTCACTATGACGGGGAAAGAGTGCGGTTGGATATGTTCTCTATCCAACAACGTGGGTCAATTGAATCGTACGTAACGGAGTTTTCTCGGCTAAGTTTACAGGTGCCGGAACTTGACGAACTCTCCAGAGCCTTGCTATTTGTCAACGGCCTGCACGGTAACATGCGGACCTTGGAAGTGAAGGAACACCCCACTACACTGTCAGCCGCCGTTCAGGCAGCGCTAGCAGTCGCCTCAGACAGCCGATTTCAGCGCAGACCACCACTGGCGACCGCGCCGAGATTCGCACCACCATCAGGTAGCAGAAAGCTAACAAAACTAAGCCCCGAGGAACGTGAGACATTACGAGCCCAGGGGGGCTGCTTCGCATGTCGTCGACCAGGCCATATGGCCCAGAATTGCCCGCAGCATCGAGATCACCCAAACGGTGGACGTCAGTAAGGCCGATGCGATTACTGACGCATCAAGAAAAGGCATCACCTGCGTGTAGTGTGTGCTCCGTCTCTACCCGTAACCGATTCAGTAGCCTCGCTGTGGAGGATGTTGACGATGATGCTGAATGCTTCGAAGCCAATTTCAAGCGAGATGTTACACCAACTATTGAGGCCCAGGTTACCAGCGTCAATGTGGAAACGGAACATGAGCTCCTGCGTGTAGAAGGCAAAATCAACGGTCGTCGCGTGCTTATGTTAATAGATTCGGGCTCGACGCATGATTTCATTGCCGAACAGTTTGCCAGGAGAGTTAACCTGCCAACCGAAATTGGCTCGGAAAACCTGAATGTCACGCTGGCTGATAGAGCATCAAGCTCGTTTCCCATGGAGACGACCCATGAATTGAAGGTTATCATAGGCGACTTCAGCGATAACCAAACCTTCACGGTGTTCCCCCTTCATCGCTATGACGCTATATTGGGGAAACCTTGGTTAACGCGTAACAATCCAGACATAAACTTCCGGACGAATGAAGTCAGGTTGAACTCGAATGGTTTGCCTTGTGCGTCGCCCAGTCAAAGCGAACCGACCGCTCCTGTGGAGGCGATGTTCATATCTGGTCGTCAGGCTAGGCATGCTCTTAGGAGTGGAGACGAAGGTGTTCTGGCGTGTGTCAGCGTAAAAGACGGCATTGGCAAGGAACCTCCCGACAAATCCACTCAGAACGAGCACCCAGATCTCAAGGCCATGTTCCGTGACTATCACGATCTTTTCCCGGATGATCTGCCAGCTAGACTCCCACCAAAGAGGTCTGTAGACCACGAAATCCGCCTGGAGGAAGGCTCATCACCCCCATCGCGACCTGCCTATCGCCTGCCCAGGCCAGAAATGGAGGAATTGAAGAAACAGCTCACA